ATGTTTAACTGCGGAGTACACTTATTTGAGAATGCTAACTTTTCTTCTCATAACCTTACTGTGTTCTGGGACAGGGAGAAACAGATGACACTGTAGAATATTAATGATGTTTTAGCTAATCCAATCCGAACCACATATTCATGAGTCTTTGCCATGTTTTCTCTATCAAGACTAAACAGATAAAGTGGCCAAAAGCATGTTCTATTATGCATTAGCCTATAGAGACATAGCCCAAGTTGGAATTCCAAGTGTTTATTAAAATAATATCATTCAGCCTTTAATACTTTAAAAAATTCAGTTGGAGTTGAAAATAATGGCAATTCTTCGTCATTTTATAAACTTCCTTAGAAATATTTTTATTAAGTTTGGTCAAGAACAGTTGGCTAGCACATTTTCATATCAGAACTTTATAGACTTGAGGAACTAGTGGTCAATGCCTGCCTCAATGTCGTGAAATGATCTAAATGTTCTTAAAATTATCGAAGTAGAAACACATGTTAAAATGATAAAGAAAAAACAAAACAAAAAAAGAAGTACACCAAACACGTCATACATCTCTATGTCTTGCTAAGGATGATGACTCTGACGTATGGAGTTAGATGTCACTAAAAAGCATAGACTATGATTAAAAATAGTTGCTGTGGTCAGACATGTGAGACCACAAAGCGGAAGAAGTCTAATCTTGAGCCACATGTGTTTTTAAGAAACAGCCTAGTGCCCATTTATTTACAGCAACAGTCTTGGCCATTCACCAGTAACCAAGGCAAGAAGAAGTGGTCTGTCACTAATGCAAAATGCTAGCTATTTCAAGTTGAATGAATATAATCTTGATGTATTTGAGTAGTTGTTTATAATATAATAATCAAATTTTATAGAAAACTTTGTTATTTGCATAGCATCTTAATAAATGTTATGTCACATATTTTATAATATTATCCTGAGGAATAAAGGGTAATTATTTATATTATTCCTATGTTATAAATGAAGGAATGAAGTCAGAGAAGTGAAGTGACTTGTCCTAGACCACAGAACTATTTAATGGTGAAGTCCAGACTCAATCTAATCTTCAAAAACTGCGGTCACAGAATAAAATTAAAAACCATCAGAAAACATTACCCAGGTCTATTTCTGTGCTTATAGTCTACAATATTACTGAGATGAAATTTATCTCAAGAATTTGTTGGTAGCAGATGATTTAATATTCCATAGAATACTACAATTCTAAAGCTATCCAAGAGACTCAAGTTGGCCATCTCATTTTATTTTGTGTTGTAATGATAATTCCCTTCCTGTCAATCTATCAAAACCAAATTTTAACTGTTCACATATGTAAAAAAATACTAAATAAACATAGTATGTAGCAAGTTTGCCCATATGATGTTAAATACTTTTTCTTAATGTAAAAGAAAATCATAATACCATATATTGGAACAATCATCATGATCTTTTAAGAGAGAATATAGCCTAAAGCAGTTCATCCATAACGTGCTTACATTACAGGGTTATATTTTACTCTTCTTGGTTTGCCTTTAGTCTACTTAATATACATTTTCTAGATAAACACCAACAGCAGAATATAATTTATGTTGGAAGATGACTGAAAACACAAGGCTAAAATTTTCCTACAGCTTTGATATTGTGTAAATGATATATGTTTCCATTTATATATGGGCTAAACTTGCAGTCCAATGCTTTGTAATTTATTTTATAAAAATTCCTATTTAAAAATATTTTGAATATTGAAATGCAATTTTATGCTAAAATAAAATGTGACCTATAATTGCAAAGTTATTAGCAACAATTATGTTGTATTCTTTGGAGAGTAGAGAAAGGTAAAATATTATTTAAAATACAGATTATAACTATTATAACATTTAAAGATTTCTTGTTGAAGTAGGACTTGAAGTGGGCTTTGAATGATAGATTTGGCTTTGCAGAAGAGAGATGTAGCATTCTAAAAATAAGGAACATAAAAAAGAAATCACACAGGACTTATGCAAGCAGAGAGTAGAATGGTGGCTACTAAGGGTTCGGAGGCGGGGAAAATGGGGAGATGTTGGTGAAAGCCTTCAAAGTTTCAGTTACACAGAATGAATAAGATCTAGAGAGTTAACGTACAACACGTGACTATAGTTAATAATATTGTATTATATACTTGAAATTTGACAAGAGAGTGGATTATAATTGTCATCAAAAACAACAACAAAAATAATATGTTGTGATAGTTACGTTAATTAGCTTGATTGTGATAATGATTGCATAATGCATAGCCTCACATTGTACACTTAAATGCATGCAATTTTTATTTTTCAATTATACCTCAATAAACTCTGGGGAAAAAATAAAGAAAAAAATGGGTGTGGAATAAGTACTGTAGTGGACCCTATAGTGAAGAAGCTGAGCTTGTCTGCCGAAAAAACTTCTGGTTAGAATTGATGGACTGAAGTCTAAGCCAGCTCTAGAATAGGGAATCCAGGTTATCTGAAAAGTGGACATGTTGGTCAGTGTGTGAAACCAGGGAGTTTGAGTGTCAGGAGAAGGCAAAGTAGCTCTAGTCAAGGGTCCAAGAAAAGTACAGGTGCACAGGGAAAGAGGCTAATTATCAAGAGAGGCTGAAATAGCAGTTGATAAACAGAAAGTCAGGAAGATAAGGAGCTAGTGAAAATAGTGGATTTAGTTGGTGGAGGTCTAGTATCAGGGTCTGGATGTATGGGGGTAATAAAAAGTAAGTCAAGTCAATATGAGGTACTAGTGATCAGAAGAAAAGATGAAAGGCACTCATGTCAGAGTGGACATAAGTAGCAAGACTAGTTCAACATGCCACCAGGAAACTATTAATACAGGGATTCTCATATTCCTTTGTTTTAGGTGTAGGATTGCTCAAAGCTTAGAGGCAGGGTTGAACATGTGAGGAGGGATACTGAGTCCTCAACAATGGGTTGGATATAGAGATTAGGAACCAAACATGCCATTCTTCTTGATTGAACTTGAGAGCAGGTATTATTAGAGTATGGGATATAAAGTTGGGTATGAACAGCTCAGAAACTAGAAAGAAGAGTTCAGGTTTGATGTGGTTGGTATTCCATAGGCTCTTCATCTGGGGAGTAACCACATCAAGGTAGTTATTTACACAAACTATTCTGGCAATAGCATTCATGGTAACTGGAAAAGAGAGATTGAGCAGATAAGAATATTTTGTAGTGGGGCACCAGAGTGACTCAGTGGGTTGAGTGTCCAATCTTGGCCCAGCTCATGATCCTACAGTTGATGAGTTTGAATTCTGAATCCAGCTCTCTGCTGTCAGTTCAGAGCCTTCTTCAGATCCTATGTCTCCTCTCTTTGCACTCCCCCCCTTGCACTCTGTCAAAAATAAATAAACATTAAAAAATAATATTGTGTAGCAATTATGTGAAGTCATGGTACACATTAACTTTATTTATTAGGCAGCTTCATAGAAGTTGTGAGGATATAAGTTTCAATGCAGTGGGTTGAAAAGTGGATAGGAAGTGAGTAAAGAGAATGTCTGGTTGTAGGGCGCCTTGATGGCTCAGTGGGTTGAGTGTCGGACTTCGGCTAAGGTCATGATCTCAACAGCTTGTGAGTCTGAGCTCTGTGCTGGGCTCTTGCTGACAGCTCAGAGCCTGGAGCCTGCTTAAGATTCTGTTTCCCTCTTTCTCTGCCCCTCCCCCACTTGCACTCTGTCTCTCTCTCTGTCTCTCTCGGATAAAGGCAATGAGGATGTGAACTGGTCAAAGATAACTGTTGATTTTAATTTAGAATTCTAATGGGGATACCTGGAGCAGAAGTAGGGATTAAAGAGTAATGGAGATTTATAGAAAAAATGATTAGCTTAGATGTGAAAAATCTCTAATTGGCTCTTACATGTAAAACACTTCAAATTTTTGACAATCAGATGGTATCTTTGTATTATTCATTTATGAATTTATTTATTTAGAGCAGAGAGGAGCATTCTGAGTGGAAGGATGAGCTTTTGCAGAGTTAAAGAGTGGTGCTTCATGTCTATCAGTATTACCTGGGGGTGGGGGAGGGTCTTATTCATGGGAATGTGCTCACATCCATGCTGGACATAGTTAGAGACCGTTTTCTCCAAAATTACCATAAATTTAAAAAATTCTGCTTTTATATTGTCAGCATGATCACTTCTATACTTCTAGTCCTTTTCAGAGTCGGTATGACACTAACATTAGACTAAGATTATGGATAGTTGGGAGGGTAGGAGTGTTTCAAAAATGAAATGAGATAATCAGAAATAAACAATATTCTTAATAAAAAAGACTATGAGCTGAAAAAGTTAGGAATACATTCAAATATTGTATTTAGTTTCAAACAATATAGAGAGCTTTCTTCAAATAAATTCATGTGAAAATGAATAAGATTTTAATACAATATAGTTCCAAAAAAGTTATGTGATTAATTAAGAAAAGGATACAAACACAGACAGCACTGATAGAGGTAAAATGGGATCAAGGGAGATCATAGATTCATTGTAATCTGCTGGTGTCCTCTACTTTCAATTTTTGTAACACTTTTTAGGAAATTTTGACTAACTCAGGTACATTCTGGGGACAATGTCTCCAATGGACCTGTGAGGTGAGGAGTTGTCACGGGATATGGGGTTGTTAGTTTTGGAGAAGGAATACAAACACAGACAGCATTGACAGAGGTTAATACCTCTGTTAAATACCTAAAAATTTCAATTGGCATTTGTAGATCTATTGAAGGCTTACGGCTTTTTAACACGTGAAATAATATAAGCAACCACCAGTCCTTGGTTACTTCCTTTTGTTGGGTGACTAAATGGTCTTATTCATAAAAAAATTTTGAGTGGGTGAAAGTAAAATAGAGTGTTTGAGAAGGAGAGAGTGGTGGCTAATACTTTTCAAATCCAATCACCATCCTTGCATTTTAAATAAACTTGGAAGAAAATATGCCTCATTTAGTCTCCTTTTTATTTCCCAGGAGTTTCCCAAGGGCTGGTGCTTTGCCACCTCTGCACTAACCACAGAAAGAGGGAGAAGAGTCATACTGCTTGTGGTTATTACATTAGTGACAAGTGGCTGTCATCTTGGCGTGATGGTTGCCAGCCCATGTCCCAGAGCTGCCCTGAGTCATTTTCTTTTCATCTGACTTATTCCGTGAAGTTTTCAGAAAATGCAGCCTGATCATTAAAAGCCACTGGATCAGTCATGCAAATTTCTCCCTTTTAGATTAAAAGAAAATTAGATTGTAATAATCAAAATGAAGAAGAGAATAAAACAACATTAGGAGAGCATTGGACTGAAACTGGGTGGGTTTGAGCAAGTCCCTCCATCTCTCCTAAGACTTTGTTTCCCTAGGTGGGTTTGGATGTATCATCCCTAAGAGTTCCACTCAGTGATGTTATTTGGAATCTGTCACCTATTCTGGACAAGAGAGATTTCCTTTAACATTGATGACAGCCAGATCCTCTGTGATTTGTATCATTCCCTTAGTGTAGGACTGATATACCTCTACCTCAATAAGCTACATATGATAAATAAGGCATAAAAATCCTTCCAAATACTACTAGTTACTAATGACATTATCAGATTTTTGTGTAACATTTTCCACATCCATGTCCAAAACATTCTTATTTGATGGGCATACTAAACACATTAAATAAACAAAAGCAAATGAAATCAGTTCCATTATATAAAAGGTATTGAAGTTCATATGGGGTAGTGACAAGCCCTAGGTTGTAATGTGAGGTAGGCCCACAATTCTGATTTCAATTCAATTCAATTTCCATACTCTTTGTCAAATAAATGGATCTATAAAAGTGTCACTTATCATTGCAGTTATGTGACCTGTATGTAAGAGAGCTACTCTACCTGACTCTCTTTGTCTGCTGCTGCAGGGGACATAGATAGACTTTGCAGTAACTTTGATGATTTTCTGCTTGAATGTAGAATATGAGATTAGCAAAGAGAATTGTTAAAGGCAGTTGGCCTTTAGAGATATTTGGGTAATGTAATTTTCTTAGCGATTTGGAAAGCTGTCCAGGAAGATTTTTATATTATTGAGGTCCACAGGACACCAAGCCCTCTATTGGGCCATCCTGTTCACACCCCAAGGAAGCTGCAGTCCTGTGTCATCACCTGCAGAAGCAAATGATTCAGTCTATCCATTCCACTCCTTAGCTACAGTAACACAAAGCCCTGAGCTGATTTCTTCTGACTTACATGACTGTAATCTTTAATCCACCAGCTAGACAATCAGGTCAAGCACTCAGCATAATATAGCATGGATTGAGCAGAGAAGACTGAACACTGAAAAATAAGATGAAAGGGCAGGATTTGGCAAGTTTAGTGCCAAGAATCTCTCATATTTCTGTAACTCTGGAGTTAGGCTGAATAGTTTCAAATCTTGCCTTCCTACTACTATTAGTAGCAGTGTGAACTTGTACAAATGTAACTTCGCTGAGCCTGAGTTAATCCATCTGGATAATTTTGAAAATAAAGGTATGTATCTTAACCAGTTGTAGGTGAGGATTAAATGAGAAATCACACAAAGTACTTAATATAGTGCCAGGCACATGGGAATAACAGACAGACTTGCCATCCATTTATAATTCCCATGTAGTGACCAGAGACTCTTAATTAAAACATTATGAGTCATGTTAGAGAAAAAAACATGGTCTTTTTAATTTTTGCAGGGATAGTGTAGGTCTTAGGATTTTTTGGGAAATAGCATTTATCCCTTTGAAAAATAATAATTCTAAAGTATGGAGATAAATTATAGGTAATAGATCATATTTTCGAACTCATAAGTTGTCCTCACTTGGACACTAATTGGTGTCCTTGGAGAAGTTATTTTGCTTTTCCGAGCTTTTATAAAGGGAGATTTAGATGGTCTCCAATACTTCTAGGTCTAATAGCCTGTGATTCTCATGAATATATATACATGTATAAATGTATAGTCTATGTATACTTATTTATATTTATAAGTTATATATATATAATTATTTAAAAAGTAAATACCTCTTCTTTATGGAAATTCCTCTTTATAGCCTACCATCACATGTTGGGGACTTCCTCTTGGATAAATGACTGATTTGAGCACAGCCTCAGTCATCCTGAAAGAAGGGAAGATCCTCTGAGCCTAATGGATGCATGCTTGGACAAATATGAGGAAGTTCTATTTAGTGCAGTGGTTACTTTGCTTAGGGAGCTTGTCACCCTGGAGATAGTAGCTTTAACGTATAAAGTATATGAAAACTAGTTACCATTTATTGCTGACTTTCCACAAGCTAGTGCTGAGCTGCAAGCTTTACTGACACTACTTCATCCTCCCCACCCACCCCCAAACACAAACCCTGTCTGTTAGATATTATTCCCATTTTATAGTTGGGCATCCTGAAGTTAAGAGATGTTAGGCAACTTGACTACAGTGATGTAGGTAGTAGTGATGCCAGGATATAGGCTTGGGTCTTTCTGACAACTCCACTGATGCCCTGAACCTCCAGATTGTCTCCACAGAATGGTTTAAATATGTAATAGTTAAGAAGCCAACAAAATGTTCTGGAAAAAAACCTGCTAACTTTCTGAATTTGACATAAATCGTGTAATCTCTTTTTCTCCACTGTATCTCTGAACACCTTTGTCAACCCCTAGGTCAGATAAACCATGACTTGCTTTCATGAGGGAATGACTGTGTGTTTTTACCACTGCAGCCCCCACACTTAGCACAGTTTTGGAACATATTCAATATGTGTTGAATGATGAACATCCGAGATGCTAATTTATTCAGTAACCATTTATTGTGTACCTGTCATGAACAAGGCATTCTGAGAAATGTTCCTTTTCCTTCAGAAGATTATAATTTAGGGAAAGGAGGATAAGACATGTAATTTAGTGCTAAATGAAGTAGCATATTTTCCTTCAAGATAATCATTGCTCCTTTCAATCTTGAAATGTAGACTGGGCAATAATCAAATTATCCTGAACAACCTTTCATATTGCTTGACTTCTTTTTTTTAAATTAGCTTTTTATCTAATTTCTAAGTTCAGGAAGATATTCCTATGTATCTACTATCTAAAAAATTAAGCAATTACATTTTTTGCTAGGTTAACCATCTCTCTCATATCTATTCTTATCAGTATTGGGCAATCCTGCTGCCAGTACCATGGTTTAATCTATTTGTCTACTATATTAGTTAGAGTTCTATGTAGAAACAGAACCAGAAGGATGTTGAAATATATCTTTTTACTTACATTTTATTTATTTGTCATATTTAAATTTATATAGGAATTGGCTCCTGTGATTGTTGGTGTGGCCAAGTCTGAATCTGTAAGGCAGGCCGGTAGACTTAAAAGGCTTAAAACTAAAGGTACAGCATTGAGGCAGAATTCTTTTCTCTCAGGGAAACTGATTTTGCTCTTAAGCCCTTTGGACCTGATGGAAGACCACTCACATTTTTAAGGATAATCTCCTTTGCTTAAGGTCAACTGATTATAGATGTAAATCACATCTACAAAATATCTTCCACAGCAACACCCAGCCTAGTATTGGATTAATGGGGTACTTCATGGAACCAAGTTGGCACATAGAACTAATCCTCAAAATCACTATTGATAATATGAAGAAAATTGCCAAAATAATAGAATAAACAAGTTTTTTCATTTTTTGCAAACAGCAAAGGATTCTTTTTGTGGATTGTTGTATTAAACCTATCAATTAAGTTTTGGAGATCTGAAATTGCTAAGGGGAACCATACAGTTCTGAGAGATCAAGAGTTATGCTTTGATTCCAACAAACAAGTAAAAAATCGTGTCCTTCCAAGGAGTATCATGGCAAACACTTCCAGGAACTCTGTACTTCAAAATATACACTTAGAAACACTCCGTCTTTGTTAAGATTTCATTTCCACTTCTTCCAGCACTTCACAATCGTTCACCAAAGCAAACCCATATTTTTGTTGCTAAAGGAGTGAATCTAATATCCATAGTTCATCACCTGAAAGTTTCCTGTAAATCAGTCAAAAACCTCTTCAACTTTTCTTAGACACGTTTTTTAATTACCTTTCAATGTGAAGATGGGTACAGGTCCATTCTCTAAAGTCAAGACTAGTTCCCAATCTAGTTTAGTAATATTTCTATGCATCAATCTATGTGTTTCCGTGAAACCGTCTTTTAGTAGTTTTACATTAAAGAGTTCATTCTCAGAAACCACGTGCAAATCACACTTGATTTGGGGATTTCTTTCTTCTTCCAATTCTTAGTAAAATATGTCCTTGAAACTTGAATTTCATAGCCTGTGTAATCCAAAAACTATACCATTTTTTCCATCAATTCTGAGGGTAAAAAGGAGTTGGAGAGCTTAAATTTCATAGTTTCCAGGTCCATTTCTTTAAATGATAGGCTTTGCTTATTCTTCAGCATCTCAACACAGACGAACTCACGTTATTCCTTACTTTATTAGTTGCAACAACAAAAAATTTCTTCATTCACATATGCCACTTACTAGGTAAGTAAGCATATATTACTGAGGAACAAAATAAATGAAAAGTGTGTATTTGTGTCTGGGAAATTGGGTAAAATGAAGGGGTTTGCATTATAACAAGTCAACCTCAAATTAAACAATAGATATCCAATATGCCCTGTTGCCTCACCACCTCCTCTCTGGCCCTGTCTGTTTCTGGTCCTTCTCTTTCCTTTCTCCTGCTTCGCTCTTCTGCATTTATAGCCACCACTTCCTTTAAGGAGCCATTATAGCAACTTCTTCTCTTTTCTTACAGGAAACATCTTTCCCTACCTATATTCATCCTGACACCTGTACCCTTAGATTCTAATCTATCCGAAGGGAAATACAGACTTTTTAAAAATTTTTAAAGGTTTTCTTTATTTCTGAGAGAGAGAGACAGCGTGAGCAGGGGAGGGTCAGAGAGAGAGGGAGACACAGAATCTGAAGCAGCCTCCAGGCTCTGAGCTAGCTGTCAGCACAGAGCCTGATGCAGGGCCTGAACCCACAAATGGTGAGATCATGACCTGAGCCGAAGTCGAATGCTTAACCGACTGAGCCACCCAGGCACCCCGGGAAATACAGATTTTTAAAATCAGATATCCTATAATTATCATAAAGAACAATGAGATACTAAACACAAAGGCTGCCTAGTGAAAAGGGCACATATTTATTGCAAGTGATGGCAATAATGTGACCTAAAAAAAGCCTTTCACTCAGAAAGCATACACTGTCTAGATAAAGAAGCAACATTTTCTGTTCTATGGAAAGCTGCTCCTGAATCAAAGGAGAAAGTTCTTGACTAAAGGGAAAGGTCTTTCCATTTCACTTCTGTTTCAGCTATCCTTAGGGAGTGTTTCGTGTTTTTCCTCCTAACTCCTATATTCCTTACACAGAGTATAATACTCAACACTGTTGTTTGAGGCTATTGATAGATTTAATGATATTTTCATTCACTTAGCAAACATGCATACTTATCAGAATAACAGGGAATGGAGATGCAAAAGTAAATTAGGTATTTTGACTTCAAAGACATTACAGTCCAATGATTGTCATTGAAATAAATTATACCATTAAACGTGGTTTCAGTGCTATGATAAGCTTGTATTGTGTATACAGAGGGGTCACCAAAGAGGGTCTGGACAACTTTCACTGACAATGTTTGGGCACGAGTGGTGCAAGTCACTTTGAAAAATATAATTGTTATATGCTCTGGAGATAGACAATTAAACAGTGGGACAATGGAAAATGCTTTTCTAATGAATCAAGGAGCCTATTAGGTATAGGGCTGGTGTAGAGAAAGTTGAGAAATGGTAGAAAGGCAGAATAAAGATGAAGGTAGGGAAAGTTTTCTTAATTTATTGTCTACCATAACACACTCAAATTGGTAGCAGCAATTTTCCCAGAAGCATCTAGTGGAATTTTGCTATTTTCCAGCTTTGAGGATCATAGCTTACCAAACTGGCACTAACAGAGTATGCGATAATTGGGAGTATGTAAATGGTGGATCAGTGAGCAGGCTATTAGTGGTTATTATGTGGAATCAGGTTAAGATAACTTACCTGATGCTAGTATGCCAAGGAGTCACTGGCTGGACACAACAGAGGCTCCACGAGTTATTGTTCAGCAAAATATTCATATAGTGTTATTGGCAATTTCAGTTTCACCTTGAGAAGATTTGTAAGCCACAGATCTGTTACTGAATTGTAATTCTGTACAGGGTAAACTTCTCTATTCTAATGCATTTAATAAAAAACAAAGCGCAGGCTGGCATTGTATTACTGAAGTATTACTGGGGTATTATATTATTGAAACATTACTAAAATATTATCAAGTTACAATTGTATGTACCAGCTTTAGTGAGGGACTCAGCATGGGACAGTTTATAAAACTGTCAGATCTGAGAGAGACTTTAGTGCACTATTTACTTGTGGGTTTTTAACTTTGTAACTTTATTATATAGGCTTCCATGGTCTCCATGGATAAACCACTTGATCTTTTTGCACTGGGGCCTTGAAATCTACCAATAGGAAGAGTAAATTAGACAACACTAGATCTGAGATTCTATGATTCCAGACAATGGGATAAGTAGAGTGGGTTTTTTTTTCCCCCTTCCATAGAGCAGATGAGAGAGTACTTTGCTAGACAAAAAGCCCACTTACATTGGTTTCTCATCTCATGACTTCCTCCCAGACTCTACTGAGTGGAATAGACATTTAGTAGGTCCTTGTTGACTGAGTAATGATCTTTCTGGATGGTCAGGAGCCCTTAGAGATTTTTGCAAGTATTCTCCTGATTGGGACCCCGGGGTATTAAAGGAAGATGTCCCATTTTGTCAGTGATGTTTCTTTTATGATACATTTAAAAGCATGGATTTCACTTTTGGGGCATGAGTAGTTATTTTACTCAGGCATTTTCCTGGAATAAATTCAAACTACTGTAATTGGAAATTTTTTTCTGTTGTAACTATGTTATAGAGCCTGGGACATGGGTTTATTCTTATAAATGGAAAAGTAAAGTAATTCAGGCCAAGAAGATTCATGTTTGAAAGAGAACCTAGTGGAAATATCACACCATCCCACCTCAGAAACTTGATGAATAAATACTCAGGGA